AGTATTATTCTAAATTTGACTATATACTTAACTTTACCAGTGAGTTTTATACCTTCAAATGTTTTCATGTTGCTAATTAGCATCCTTTCAACTTGAAGAACTCCCTCTAGCATTTCTTATAAAGGAGGTCTCGTGGTGATGAACTCCCTCAGCTTTTGTTTGTTTGGGAAAGTCTTATCTCTCCTCAATTTTTGAAGGACAGTTTTGCCAGGTATAGTATTCTTAGTTGGCCCAGGTTTTTTCCCCCTGCACTTTGAATATCTCCTCCCTCTCTCTCCTGGCCTACAAGGTTTCTCCTGAAAAACCCATTTATAGTCTTATAAAAGTTCCCTTGTATGTGATGAGCCATTTTTCTCTCGTTGCTTTCAAAATTTTCTTTATGATTGACTTTTGACAATTTGAGTATAACATAACTTAGTGAGAACCTCTTTATGCTCAAGTATTTTCAGTTATTTGGGCTTCAGGGAGCTGGATGTTCATTTCCCTCTCCAGATTTGGGAATTTTTCTGTCATTATTTAAGTAACTTTTCTGTTTCTTTCTCTTTCTGCTCCTTCTATATTCCCATAATGCACATAGATATTGGCCTGATTGATGGTGTCCAGTAAGTTCCTTATATTTTTTCACTTTTTCATTCTTTTTTCTTTACACTAAAAATGGTTAGGATGGTAAATTTTATGTTATGTGTACTTTATCACAATTTTAAAAATGCTTATTACATCTATACAGTGGAATACAACACAGTAATAAAAATAAGGAAGAGACCAGCCACAGTGGCTCATGCCTGTAATCCCAGCACTTTGGGAGGCCGAGGCAGGAGGATCACTTGAGGCCAGGAGTTAGAGACCAGCTTGGGCAATACAGTGAGACCACATCTTTACAAATTATAAAAAAGTAAAAAATTAGCCAGGCATGGTAACATGCCCTATAGTCATAGCTACTCAGGAAGCTGAGGAGGGAGGATTGTTTGAGCCCAGTAGTACAAAGCTGCAGTGAGCTATGATTGGGCCACTACATCCTGTCTCAAAAAAAAAAAAAAGAAAGAAAAAAAGAAGGAAGAATTTTTTAAGGATTTGTGGGAAAGGAACTCACCTGTATTAAAAAATGCAAGGGAGCCAAATAGTGCAAAAAATAATGGGGAAGAAAAAAATACATGTAGATTTGCTCATATATGTATAAAATATCTCTGGAAGGATACACAAGAGGCAGCAACTTTGGTTTCTTCTTGGGAGAAGCAGATAGCGGGGCAGAGTGGAAGGGAGACTTCTCTGGAAATCTTTTTCTACCTTTGGAATTTTGAACCAAACAAACATACCTTTCAAAAGTAAGTGAAAATATACAATACACTTATTTAAAGGCATCACAGACCAAAATTCCTTCAGCAGCCAGGCAGTAAACACGAAGGAGTAAAATCAGCAGGGCTATAATTCTGCCACAACGGAGAAAGGATGCCTCCCTATAAGACATATGGTCAAGTGCCGTCCGTGGAACGCATACAAAAAGGATGCCAAGAGAAGCTAAAAGTTTCAATTTGTATGTAAAATTCTTTGTCTTTGACATATAGAAAAAAATACTTTTTTGATAGTATACATTCAGAAATGCATACACAGGTGCACAGCTCAATTAATAGTCACAAAGTGAACACAACAGTGCAACCAACATCCAGAACAAGAAACAGAACACGTCCAGGCACAGTGGCTCACACCTGTAACCCTACCACTCTGGGAGGCCAAGGCAAGAGGATCACTTGAAGTTCAAGAACAGCCTGAACAAGAGCAAGACCAGTCTCTACTGAAAACAGAAAAATTAGGTGGGAGTGGTGGCTTGCCTGTAGTCCCAGCTGCTCTGGAGGCTGAGGCAGGATTGCTTGAGCCCAGGAGTTTGAGGTTGCAGTGAGCTATGATGATGCCCCTGCACTCCAGCCTCAGAGACTAGGGAGACTCTGTCTCCAAAAGAAAAAAAAAGAAAGAAAGAAACAGAACATGACTATCGCCAACCCCCTCACCCCCACCAATTTTTCCATTGTTCTCTTCTCCAGTCACTAGTTCCCCACCCTACCCACAACTAGAAACCACTATCCTGATTTTTTAACATACTGTATTAGTTTTGCCTACTTTTGTACATTAGATGAATAGAATCACACAGTATGTGCACTTTTGCGTCTGGCATCTTTCTGTCAACATTATGCTTGTCAGATTCATCCATATTGTTGTATGTAGCTGCATATGGGTTATTTTCATTGCTGATAGTCTTCCATTAATTCATCCAGCCTTTCTGAATGAGAAGACTATATTATAGAGCTTTTGATTAGGAGTCACATTGCCTGACTTGTAATTTTAAAAATTGACTTCATCAGTAGAGCTGCCTCACTCTTTCTCGCATTGCAGTTGCTCAGTATTTCACTGTGAAGGTGCCATACCTTATCTGCTGTCGCAAATTATGGACATTGAGCCTGTCTCCAGTTTTAGACTCAAAGCACTTCTCTAAGTTTCTTCCTCTTCCAAAATTCCAGCTGACATTTTCCCGATTAAAACCTTTTTCTGAGCCGGGCGCGGTGGCTCACGCCTGTAATCCTAGCACTCTGGGAGGCTGAGGCGGGTGGATCGCTTGAGCTCAGGAGTTTGAGACAAGCCTGACCAAGAGTGAGACCCCCATCTCTACTAAAAATAGAAAGAAATTGGCCAAAGAACTAAAAATAGAAAAAATTAGCCGGGCATGGTGGCGCATGCCTGGGAGGCTACCTGGGAGGCTGAGGCAGGAGGATCGCTTGAGCCCAGGAGTTTGAGGTTGCTGTGAGGCAGGATGACGCCATGGCACTCTAGCCTAGGCAAGAGAGTGAGATTCTGTCTCAAAAAAAAAAAAGAAGATAATAGGAAAAAATAAAAATAAAAAACCGAACGAAAAAATAAGAGGAAAAATAACAGAAAAAGAAAAAAGAAAGGAAAAAGAACAGCGTAACGCGCAACCTCACTGGCTCCAGGGCTGCCAACTCAGACCTCCAGTCTGAAGCCTTTTTCCACCTTAAAAAGGTGCTTAGAGGAGCAACAGGTTTAAAAAGGGCAGGCGCCTGACGGGCGTGCTTCTCGTACACCCTCCAACGCAGAAGGGCTCGGCAGGTCCGGGGGTCCACGAGGGATGTGCTGGAGACTGTCGGGGACGGTTCTCAGGTGCGCAATCCTAACCGCCCCGCTCGGTGCCCAGAAACGACCCTCCCGCACCTGCAGCCCCTCAAAGAACGGAGAACTAAAGAGAGTTACACGGAAAGAGCAGACTGCACTAATCTTGCAGCCCGAGCCCTCGCCTCGGGAGCCCCAGCCACTGACCGGAGTGTGTCAAAGCGCGGCCATAAAGCTCCGCACCTGCGCAATGGCTCCCGCACCGAACCCGCCTCGGCTTTCCTTCCCACGACCCTCCCCCGCGGCGCCTGCGCACTGGGTCCCGCTGCGCGCAGGCCTGCGAAGCTGGGAACCCTAGATAACCTTTCTTGCCGACTGAGGTGGAAAAAGTCTGCTAGTTCTTGTATCCCTTGTCCCTCTCCCTTCCCAGCCTATGAGAATGACTATAAATGTTCGAACGTAGTTCACCAAGGGGTCGGGGAGGCCAGATGCTTGCGGCGTTCAGAGCGCGTGCGGACGTCCAGGTATCCAGGAGGATTGTGGGTGGGGAAGCGCTCACGTGGTGAGCTTCCGCCAATCGGCGCGCAGACCGCACTTTGCGGCTCGGCTTCAAACTACCGTGAGCCCCGAGCGGCCTCTGGGGCCCCGCCCCCCTCTGCCGAGTCTGGAGCCCCGCGAGACGGCAGGGAGGTGGGGGCGCCCAGGCGCGGGGGCGGGGCGGCGGGGTCGAGTGACGGCCCGCCTCACCTATTCCGGACGCGGGCCGCGGCGCGGGCGCGGCGGGGTGGGCCCCGCAGCCAATGGGCGGGGGCGGGGGGCGGCCCGGCCGGCCGGGAGGGAGAGCCCGCGGCCGGGGGACGAGGGGGGAGCAGGAGGCGGGCTCCCAATCCGGTTCCATCCGGTTCTCCCACCGCCCCCGCCGCGGGTCTCAGCAGCTCGGGCGGCGGGAGCGACGGCAGCGGCCAGCCAGCCCAGCTTCGCGAAGGCTCTCGGCGCGCCGCGGCCCGCAGGCACCCGGCACGCGCCCTCCCCGCCGCCAGGATGCCCAAGAGGAAGGTGAGCGGCGGCCGCGGCCCGCACACGCCCCCTCGCTCCGCCGCCGGCCTCCCCGCCGGGCCCCCGCGCGGCGCAGGCCCCGCCGCGCCTACCGCGGCGTTGGGCCCGGGAGTCGCTCGGGGGCCCGCGGGCGCCCGCGGCAGCCCCGGGGGGCCGCTGTTCTGGAACGTTCGGCAGTCGGAGCAGCCGCGGGGGCGATTCGAACGGGGCGGCGGGAAGCCGCTGACGTCACGCGGCCGGGCATTGTTCTCGCGGGCGGGCGGGCGGGCGCGCGGCTACTTTTGTGTGCGGATCGCGCCCATCCGCCCGTCTGCCTCTCCCCGCAGGTCAGCTCGGCCGAAGGCGCGGTGAAGGAAGAGGTGAGCGCGCTGGGCCTCTGCCCGGGGGGTGGGTTGGTGTAAGCTGCTCTCCTTCCTTCTCGCTGATTGTCCTTTTTCTCTCTCCAAGCCCAAGAGGAGATCTGCGCGGCTGTCAGCTGTAAGTAAAGTGAGCCCTACAACCTTTGTTTTCCGTGGGATCGTCCCAGTGCAGAAACTTAGTGCTACTTTTGCCTTTCAGAAACCTGCTCCTGCGAAAGTGGAAACGAAGCCCAAAAAGGCAGCAGCAAAGGTAGGTTTCAAAACTTGCCTTAAGATACAGTGGTGTCTTAGGCTACATCGTTATTTAATATGTGACTTTTTATTTTATTTCTCTCTTTGGATTTTCTTTGTATTTTAATAACTTACTTTTTCTTCTGGCGGGGTAAAGTGCAACGGTTGTATTTATCCTGGCTTGTGTGAATATGATGTGTCACATTTAAGCTGCTGCAGAATTTAGTAAACTTAAGATGACAAAAAATAATATTAATTTAAGCCTACAAAAGAAATTTATTCTTTGTATTGTGTACATTATGGTTGGTGCTTGTCCTTTCGTTGCATGCTTGTACTTCCTCTCTTGACAATAAGAGAGCCAGGTTAGGACTGAGGCCAGGAGAAAGGGAACGTGTAGGTTTTTATATGTACAGTTCCCAAGTCAAGATAGGGGATCTTCTTGGGGTGGAGGTCGCTGAGATCAAACTTGTGTTCTTCGAGAACATAAATATCAGTGTTCTAAAAGTATTTTATTTACAGTTGTGAAAAACGTGATAGTTGTTTCTCCGGGATAAATTCATGATTGTATGAATCAGATTGCAGGTCTTTGAAATGAAGTTGTTCTTGAGTCTATGTATGTTTGAAAACTTGTTTGGAAAAGCAGAATATATGTAAGACATTTGTAAACTTTGTGTTCGAATATAGCATTGAAACCACTGTCTGGAAAGCTCTGTGTGTTCTTCATGTTCTTCTTTCCAGTCAAAACTTAGATGAGAGTTTGCTATTTGAAGTCTCCTAAAAAAAAAAAAAAAAAAAGGTAAAGAAATTCTTAATGCCATCACTTCTTTCCTAAAAGTGTAGGTGGAAGTTTAAGCACTGCATAATAGTCAAAAGAGGTACAATAATGTTTTTGACATTGTGGACCTCTTGGATAACTATTCAATTTGTCCTCGTTAAATAAAGGTATAAAACAAAGAGTTTTTTCTCTTTTTTTATTTAAACCTACAGAGCTGAGTGTAAAAACCTTAATTATGTTTTCTTCAACAGAAAGTCGTTTTTGTGATCCTTTTAAAAATAAAGGTTCAAGGAAGGTGTAGGTATAGTATATCAACTTAGAATTTCTCACACCAGAGGACAATGCAATAATTCTCTGTACACAAAGTCAGAGTACTACGGAAACTTCATGAAGGCCTAAAATATTAGCCAACCATGTTACAAAATCTAGGTGTGTAACTTTTTTTGTTACATCTTTCTTTTTTGATTCTTTGTTTTATAAACCAGGTTGCTGAAATACTTGCCTGTTTGCCTCTTAGAATTTTCTTCCTTTCCTGTCTTTGTCCATCTCGATCTGCTATAAAATAAATTTTTAAGTGAAAGCAGTTAAAGTTCCCCAATAGGTTTGGGACATCAGACGTAATCATCATTTTTCTTTCTTTCTCTGAGTGAGAGGCCAACAGGTAAGTCTTTGTGTCCGTATTCTTGAGAAACTAACTTACCAGTTCAGCTTTTCCACAGGAAAAATGGGAGGAGGGTTTTTTCCTTTTTTTTTTTTTACATTTAGTCTCTGCAGTACACCTTTGTCTTCATAATTGATCAGGCTTTATTTAAAGCTTTAAACAGAAGGTAAGCACTTGATGTATTATACTATACAATAGACATACTGTTTTCCACGCCTATCTGTCACACAGTGTGCTTCTGACTTGTCTCATTTCCTTAGAAGTAAATATTTTGAAGGTTGAGACATTATACTTAGGAAACCGATTTATTTTGTTTCATGTAGCTTACGGGTTGTTAATGGTTACAAATGGTATTATTTGAAGTCCAGGCTATCGCATATTCTATTTTAACTTTTTTCAGGTTTTTAATTCTTATGTTCTTGGGATAGCGGTTATGAAATTAATGAGAAACCTTTAAAAACCAGATTACAAAAGAATAGTTTTTGAGTCCAGAAGCAGTTGTGACACTTCATGGTAGTAATGTGCGTAGCAGTGTTATCTCAAATATATTCATTTATGTAATTTGTTACCTATCCTAAAGATGTAGGGCTATTAGAAGTCATCGTGCTGTGTTTATATATGGAATGCCACTGTTGATACAGACTACCTTGCAGTGATTTTTTTTTTTTTTCCCATCTTAGTATTGAAATTGTGACATCTACTTGAATGTTGTTATGACCCTTTAACTCAGTAATTGATCAGTACCCGTAGAGGTCTTTTATACCACTGCTAGTGAATTAATTTAGCTATTGCTACAATTTTTATTTACAGAGAATAAATATTAAGCTTTTGTTAAGCTTCTGCTTACCATTGATGGATGGTGTCCAAAAGTGGTGTTTTATATTGTTTTAAAATGGCTTAAATTTTGGACTTAATATGTGTCATTATTTTGTCATACCTGTGCTTTTCAGATTTTTCAAACACGTAAATGAAAACGATGACTTCAAAATAGATCCTTTTAGCTACTCGTTATATCAAGGGCTTACCTATAGCAGGATAGTTAATGTGACCATACAGCATGAAGCTTTTTTCAGGTGTAAGGTCTTAATGTGAGGGTAAAAGTCTTGTCAGAACGATGGTGTCAGCAGTTTGATTAATTTTTGTGCTTAAAAGAAATTTGGGGATGAGTAGGGATACAATGGAAGAGATTCTCCAGTATTCTTCTGCCTCATTTGTTCTGTTGTATGGAACCGTAGACAGTAGATGATGGCGATAGTGGTGGGGAAGTGTAGCTCAGGCTTTAGGATTTATCGTCATATGTCTAATGAGGCTTGACGTGAAAGTACTGTTACAATCTCCTTAGCATATGTTGTTTTCCTGATTACTATGGGTGGCCTTTAAGTTGTCTCCTGTAAAAGATGTGTCAGTTATCTCAGGTTTATGTGTTGGTGTATGTTACTAACATGGCACCTATCATGGATACAATGTATCCCAAGTTAGAAAATGTAAGTAAGGGTAAAGTTAATACTTAAAATATACTCTTATTTTATCATAGGATAAATCTTCAGACAAAAAAGTGCAACCAAAAGGGAAAAGGGGAGCAAAGGGAAAACAGGCCGAAGTGGCTAACCAAGAAACTAAAGAAGATTTACCTGCAGAAAATGGAGAAACTAAAACTGAGGAG